CTCAATCAGCATATCAAGCTCATGACGATTCTTCACACCTCGGCTAATTGGGTTGACTTCGACACCATTCACTAGGTGTTGTCCTCCTTCTTCACGATCACCAATGTCGTACATAAAGGCTGACTGACTGTAGAAGCACTTGGTCACTTCTTCTTTCTCAGTGAATCTGGTTCTTCCCCAACGCTTTCCCCGTGGCATGACGTTCTTTGGGAGCTTGTCTTTTCTGCCTCTGGTTGCAGCTTTGGATCTTTCCGATGATGATGGGGATTTGGACTTCTGATCCATGATCAATCTCATGCGCCATAGGGTGTCCTTCATGTTCTCGTCATCTGGTGTGGTACATTCATCAATGTCATGCCTTCCACCACAAATGAAACAATATTGAACACTCGATGCGTCTGCAATCAGCTTCTCAAATCGATCACGGATGTCCCGCACCTCAGTTCGGCGCTTCTTCGCCTCCGAAGGTTGGCCCCCCATGTCATCTTCCTCCTCCTCAATCTCGATGTCACCAGCTCCGGCATCGGTTTCTCCTGAAGTCTGTTCTGCTCGAGGGCCCCGCGCCGTAGGCGTCGTGGTCTCCTCATCGGGTTCGCCAACTTCATCCTCCTCCTCATCGCTTGATGAGACCTCAATCATTTCAGGGTGGTCATCGTAGTTGGCTTCCGGGAGCACCGGCATCCTGGTGATCTTCTTCTGCATGAGTAGGTCGAATATTCCCGCTTCTTTCAAGATCGTTATCACCATGTTGTTCTCGACCGGCGGGATGTATGCTTTCCTGGATCGGTTTCGCTTTGTGTTGATGGTGTCGGTAGGCCGACATGAACTGCTGAATAGCCAGAACGACTCTTCCAGTCCTGCGAGGCAACTGTCAAGGTTTGCCCCCCATCCAGCGAACATAGTAGGGAATTGAATACCCAGGTCAAGCATTCCAAGCCAGAATTCGAAAATGTCGCCGACATACTCAGCTGTTGCGGTTGGATTGAGCATTGATGCGATCTCCTCCTTGGTCAGCACGTCTTCATGTAGTCATGATAAGCGACGTTTCCACCATCCCAAAGCAGTCTGTAAAACCATCGCATTCGGTGCATTCCGCCTCCGCAATCCTCTGTTCGTGTTTCACGTTGTACAGTGAATTGGGGTAACAGGTCTCGTCTGCATTTCCCTTTCACCATGTATGCAGGCATTCGGATGGCACCTCGATGTGATACCTGTTTGAGCACATCGCTTGTCGTCCTGTATCCTGAAAGCATTGCAAGTGTCGCAGTGACCAGGAATCCACGGAGGTCCTTCTCGGCTTCCATTTCTCTCCAGTCAACGCACTCATTGTAGATGTTGAGCAATCTTGCAGCTACTCTTGCATCCTGTGAAAATTCATCCATCCCAATGTCTTCAGTTCCGTAGATTGCCGCTCTCGTCCAGTTGCTTGCGCAATTCAGGCATCTTGTGCGGTTCTCAGTGCAGGTATTCAATCTCGAATCATTTTTATGAAATCCTTTGCACACATCGCACATCAATTCGGAATCTTCGGTTACCTCGACCCAATGCTCATCCACATCTGTCAGGGGCTCCGGGGTAAATACTCCTCGTCGGATGTCTGACCATGCTCTCCTCTGGACTGCATCTTTCATGTGCTTCATTCCTCCAATGATGTTTGCTGATCCAGCTTGAGCATCTGTGATTTCTCCAGCACGAATGCTGGGAACAATTCGTGGATGTTCTGTGCATCGTTTGATGGTTTCAATGTCAAATCCGGTGTTCTTCACATGGACGCACTCTTCATTCAGGTCATGGACTGTATCATGATCCATTGCACAATGTAAGAAGACCTTCTGTCGCATCAATGACTTTTCAAGCATAGCCCAAATGACTTCCTTGCCTTCACCTTCTTTCCAATAGAAAGGCTCACGTCCACAAGCATATATCTGTTTCCAGAATCTTTCATTGGTGGAGTGAATAATGCCCTTTTCCTTCAAGATTCTTGCAAGCTCCTCGGCCATGGATACAATCGAAGATTGGGACCCAAGAAACCGGGCATCTTTCAGAATGTTGACGAAAATTGGAAGATGTGCTGCTTGGCTGATCTCAGTGATGATCTCCGCCAATTTGGTGATGAAGTCTGCATTTGGCATCAGCATGCGATTTTGTCCTCTGAAAAGTGCTGCGAAAGAGATCCAAATATGAACAGTGGCACTTGAGAACGCGTTGGCGTTGGTTCGTAGGAAAGTCAATGCATTCGTTGCCAGTTTCAAGAAATCCTCGGGTTTCTCCAGAGATTCATAGGGAAGTTGGTACACCTTGATGGATGAAAGACCCATGTTGTCGAGCCCAGCCTCAATGTCATTGATGATTCTCGAGCTAGATCTCGTTTGGTAAGTCAAATCCGTCAAGATGAGAGCTTTGTTGTTTCTCACTTGTCCTCCCAATTCATCCCATTTGTCTAACCAAGGCTTCCCGATGATGTACTGTCCAATCTTGTTTCCTAACTTCTTGAGCTTGACTCGAATCTCGCCCTCCACCGTATCTTCAATGCCCAATGTCAACATAGCTAGGACCTCCGTCACTGGATATCCTTTGCACCTGACAAACTCTGTGGTCGTGATGATGTAGTGGTAGAGCTTCAGCCATTCGTAGTCATTCTCATTGATCATGTGGGAATCAAGTTGACCTTCTGTCAGCATGTTGAAAGACAGGGCAGCATGAAATGTCAATCTTCTCAAATACTGTTTCCAGATCAAATTGGTTCCATACTTGTGAGTAGTGTGAGGACCCTCTACGATTGAAAGCACAAAATCCTTGCCGGATCGCAGGAATGCAATTCTCTGTTCTTCACGAGCATAATCCTCGGCAGCATGGAGACGCACTTCCACGGTTGAAGGTTTCCTCCTCTTCATCCAGTCTTCAGTTGGAATCCAATTCTCATCTCTTTCTGGTTCAGTACGACCTTGAGATGTCGCTCCAGGTCCAGATCGGAAAGCTGCATGGGTCGACGAAGATGAGGCTCCGCCAGTCGATGACCTTGGCATCTTCTTCGGTTGAATGTTCGAACTTTGTGATTGTTGCGATGCCTTTGGTTGTGATCCCTCCGTAGGAGCGGATGTACTCTGGGCGCTAGGTCCAGTTGATGTGTCATCATTCACCCAGGAAGGTTCCTCATTGTTCCAGAAGTCGACTTCGTCGGGTCTTCGTCCATCTTTGAAGTTCAGGGGGACATCCCAGTTGTCGAAATTGTGCATGTTGCCACCTGTTCCAGCTTGAGTATCGGTCATTGATGTTGTAAAATCCTTGAGGGAACTGTGGCAAGCATGACGTCTTTCTTTCTCGGTATATCTGGCCCCTTCATCGGCAATCGAGACATTGTATCCATGCCCAATCAGGATTCCCTGGGGAATGTCAAATACTTTGAGGATCGAGAACTGGAGTTCGGACAGTTCTGCTACTCTCGGCAAATTTCCATCTCCTCGGGCGCTGGTCTTGTGTCTTTCAAGGGTCGTGCCGAGGGCCAACAAACACAAGAAATGGTTCTGGGCTGCACTCCTCCCTTTCGGTTGGTTGGTTTCGAAAGCAACCACATCCTTCATCACATCCTGCAAGATGATCTGATCCGATGGGTTCTGCTCATTGTGATACCTCAATGCATGTCCTAGGTGCCTCATCTGGATTTCAATCATGTGCTTCATTGCCGTCAAATAGCTGTCGTTGTCAGATGGAGACTTCGGATTCACCTTGGTCAACTCGTCCATGACTTTGAAGTACTCGGCGGTCCTTGTCACAGCTAACCATGATGTGGCACTCGGATCTGTGTTGAATGATGGTGTTCCTCGATAAATTTGTTTCATGCTTCGGATCTTCGCCTCAGTTTCTGCAGCAGTGGCTTGATCATCAAAAGGTTCGGGAAAATGTCCTTTGGACAATACGATCCAGAGCTCATCAAGTCTGTCATAGATCTCTTTGTCCATGAAGCGTCCCACAGTTGCATCATCATATGGGCATCTGCTAGCAAAGACCTTCACGAATCTCGACCCTTTTGACAAAAACTCCCATCCTGAACACCCCTTCTCGATGTCCTGCGCTCTTTGCAACAACTTGTAGGCTACCTCCAGGGCTTGTGCAGTGGCTTCACTGGTGTGTCTGGAGTTCGCGAAGTATGCTGAGTAGACAACTGCAGGCGGCATACCAAACCTAATCCATTGGTTGGCTGTGTCCTCATCTGAGATCAGTCGAAAATTCGAACCTCGGGTGTCTCGGAATGGTGATGGAGTCTTGGCTGCAATGGTTCCTTCAGACAATCCCTTCAGCACTCGTAATGCAACGGTGATTCGGCTTCCGGCGAATTGCCCTACTGAGTTCAGATCATGGGTTTCGGCCATCCCGCTTTGTACAGAATAAAGTCGCACGGACCGTAGGTCTCGTGACAACTGTTCGAGCAGCGAAAATAGTTGTACGAACCGTAGGTCTCGTAACAACCAGTCGGAGTCGAATTCAGAAAGCGGTCGACACGAAAATGAAAAGTGCCACGAAGAAAGAACCGAAGTTGATGTCAATCTCGAAAAGCACCAGTGCAGTAGCGATCGCTCGAACGAATGGTCAATGGCGTCGAGCTCTCGAGTAGCACAAACGGATGTTGCCACCGACTTGATTGGGTGACTGCGGACATTCTCGGAATCACGAGACATTTCAGCTTTCAGTTGTTCATCACATGCAAGCGGCTTCCAACGTTTCATCACTCTGACGTTCACAAATGGACTATTCCTGATTACATGATCATTAATTCCATTCATGATTATCTTGGCTATCCATTTAGTGTAAACTTGAGTAATGCGAGTTTCCCTACCGGCACACTCAGCATGGTCATGACGGCGATCACATCTTCTATGAAGCTTTGGAAAAGACACCCCCCATGTAACAATCTTCCAAGGTTTCTTGATTGGTTTGGGAGTCTCTTGGAATTGTGATTTCAAGCCATACATGCATCCATCAAATTTGTGTTCATGAGATACGGTTCCTTCCACAAGGTCAGTCATTCTACGGTCCTTCCAGTAGTCACAACCTCTAGGCAACTCAAGCAAGGCTGGTGATCCCATATTGATAAGTTCACTTAGCACTGATGCAAACACTTCCCACATCGCCCAGAAGATCTGCTTCTTTGCTTCGATGAGTTGTGTCGTTGCTTCGCTCACCCATCGGTTGATTCGGTTCCATGGTGAACCTCCTGTACATGGACCTGCAAAGAACATTGAATCAAGTTTGGTCCGAAGGCATCGCCTTGCTTTACTGATTCCGTACGGAGAGAGCATGTCGTCATCTTCAGTGATTGGCACGACATGAAACTTCATTTCGTCCTTCATTTTGTTCTGCAAGAACGTAAACCAGTTTCTCTCTTCCGAACATAACAAGACGAAGCATGGGACTGCTTGAGGAACTTCGATCAAATTGATTGCAAGGGAAAACTTCGCATACTTTGATGTCATCAAGTCACAAGGTGATTTGGAAAATTGAAATTCCAAAGTTCTGTTTTTCTTTTCTCTCCAAAGGATTACCGACACTTTGGGATGGTCAACCTCATGTTTGCCTACTTCAATGTGATATTGATAGGGGACAAAAACATCAGTGATGGGAATAGTTTTCACGTCATTGCAATTGGTGCATAGCGTGATTACTCCCTGACTCACTTTACAGTTCTTACCTCCATCGATCACTTCAGCATTGGCGAGCACCTTGAATGTCGATTTTCCAGTCCAAAATTCATTCAACTTGTTTGTTGATTCATGATTGTCGCCCTTGAATCTCCATATGTCTTTGATCACTCGAGTATTAGTTTTGAACTTTTGTTCAGTTTCCCTCTCATCACATATGATCCTAGGGTCACAAGGACAGTCTTCGCAATCCTGTGGTACAAAGTTTTGCCTTCTTGGCGTTTTGTGAATTCGGATCAATGTCTCTTTCCCATCCCACTGCCAATGGTCTTCATTTTTCTTACCTAACACTTGGGATTTTCGGGTGGATTTTACAAACGGAATGTTATCATTGATGTCCAATTCCGGATGCGTATGACATAGGCCAGGTGTTGAAGTGGACTGTGGGTGCCCCTTTTCACTGTGCGAATGCCATCCTTCACCCTCACTCCCCCCATGAACAAGGCGCATAAGCGTATTGATCACACGTGTGGCTGGCTGAAGGCACTGGTGAATGGATTTCGGGTGTTGAGACGGTGATGTCTGTGCATCTAAAAACAAGGCATCAACCGAGAACATCAGCATTGGTGAATCGGTCAGATGCTGTACACGGTCATGTGGTGTTGACGCACACGAGTCACGTAGTGAGCTCGAGTGGGCAGGCGGGGCATGCACGTGCTTTGACGACATCACCCGGTGGGTTGAGGTCGTTGAAACGGATTGTGAAACAGTGTCCGGGATCAACGGCTGCTTGTTGGGCGAATGGTACTGAAAACACGCTCGTTCAACCCACTTATCAAATCTGATAGCCTGCTCTGGTGGAGATGCACGGTGTTCGACCTTTGTCCAGGCACCATTGAGAAGAACCCATGTGGATCTCAATACATCTGGCGGCACGATCAAGCCGGGTGGCTTAGGACGATAAAACACCGGTTGCTTGACGACAAAAATGGGATCCATACCTGGCAAGTATTGTAGCTTCTCTTTACTAGTCAAACCCTTCCTATACACTTCTTTCGGCAAAATAGGGGTTTCCGTGTATGGGAAGTTTGGGATGTCCTCAGTTTTGGATTGGAAAACTTGGCGAGTAGTCATATCGACATCGGTGCTTGGCTGCAACATGTCTAATACTTCTTTGCTCTGCAAGTCCTGAGGTTCCAACAAGTTGATTAGCATACAAGCTTTCTTCCATGCCATGGGATTCTTGAACCCTTTAGTATGGATATCGGCTGCCATTTTGGCTGTAATTTCATAGATCAATACAAAATGATCCTTTTGGAAATGTTCATGCATGGAGGCGATGGAAATACCATGTGTGCGCTCCAAATGACGCATGGTTGGATTCCGTCCTGATCTGACAACACCAATCATACCTTGATTATCGTCATGGAACAGGAGTTGAGGAAAAACTTTGGCTAAGACTTTCCACAGACTTAGTGCGGGGATTCCTAGAGTCCTAAGTGCAGTATCTGCAGCCACAATTTCAGCTTCGGGGGTAGAATGACTAACACACCCTTGTCGCTTACTTCCACCAGCAAGTGGGAATCTTGTGAACTTACCTTGGACTTGTAAGTGCGATCCTGAAGTTGATCTCAAGGATTGGGCACATCCAGCGAAATCCGCATCTGCAAATAGTCCTAATGATAAATCTTCAATTTTGTCTCCGACCCATCCTATCATTTTGAGGGACAATGTGGAATTAACATAACACATTAAGTGATGAAGACGGGCGTCATCATCCTTTGTCCATTTGGTCACATTACGTGCCAATGCATTGATGGATCTCAACAGGTCAAACCGCGCAATGCGGGCTGCATACAGCAGCTTCATAAGCACACTAGCTGCATGCGGAGCTAGATTCCCTCGGCTCAGCGTCTCACTGTCTTGGCCAGGACATGAGTTGCCAGTCTCGGAGAGAGCAGGCATATCTGGATCGAAGGAATGTGCACACCAAGGACACTCAACTTTGCGTTTTCCATCGGAAGGAGCTCGATACGGGCTGCTTTTCGTTTCCTCTGGAAGGCTTGGAGTTGATACCTTTTTCAATTTTGTGTCCTTACCAATGATGTCAAGATACTTTTCCACCGATAACTTTAACAATCCTTCCATGTTATAAGTTATGGTCTTGACTTTCTTACCATTATGCAATTGGGTTTCACCTTGGGATAAAACACATCCTAAGTAAAGTCCCAAGTCGGTTTCGGGTTCAATGCGCAAAACAGTGCGCAGCATTTCCCAACCTTTGGCCAGATTTTCGGAGGGCCCAGCAAGCTTAAGATCATCCACATAGATTACCAACAGCAATTTGAGCTCATCATGAAAATACATAGAAGGCCATTCCTCTCCAATGGGCTTAAAACCAATTTCTTGAACTTTCTTGTCACAATGTTGTTCCCACATCGTGCCTGAATCGGGTGTCCATACAGGGCTTTGTCGAGTCTTACGACAGGGCGACGGAACTTCCAGTACTGTATCTCCGGAGGCCATGCATCAGTGGGTAACTCCACCCAACACAAAGGTCCCTTCAACTTAGCCTGGATGTAAGCCTGAATCGCATCTGCCAACTTGACGGAGTGCCCAGGAAGACATCCGTAAAAATCTGCCCATCGTGAGGCTTCGAAGGAAGCAGGGGAATTTCCCAAGTCTTGGAAGAATGCTGCCTCCCAATGCTGATTCTTCACCTGATTTCCTAGCAGAACGCCTCTTCCCTTGAATTTTCGCCCAGGATTGTCTTCTGACAGCTGGTAATTCTTTTCCACGCATATGCCATGGACCCTGGCCATATGTACTTCCTTTTTGTTCTTTTTGGCCTCTGCAACAACATCGTCGTATTCACGAACCATTGTAAAGTCGAATACCTCTTGATCACGAAGGCCTTTCCACTCCTTGAGCATTGCCTCTTTGGCCTTTGGGTTGGACTCAATTTCAGCTCTGCCCACAGGTCGTGAAACCATTGCGTTGAAAAGTTTGCTTCCAAGGCCTCCTGATGGTATCTTGGTTCGGTGACTTTGATTTGATGCAGAAGTACACGGCATAGTAGGGAATGGAATGTACTCCTCATCATCAGTGGCTATGTTCTTCACGTTCTTGACGTTAACACATTTGCCATTTTTGATCATTGTCGACTCTCCTGGCGTAGCCATGGAGAACCTTGAAATCTCACCTGACAATGTGCTCCAAACTTCACCACTCCACGATGCTTTTGGGCCACGTCCTTTCTCGACCTCCGACCATTCATCCCATTCAGTGAGATATTCCTCGTCGTCCGGGACATCAGTAGAAGCATCGGAACATGGACTAGCATCAGCATTCCTCTTCACTTTTCGACAATCAATGTATCGTCTTCCATGTACATCGTCATCATCGACTATGTCGTACAGATCAAGATACGTACTTGTACATGTGATAGGTAAGGTAACTTTGTTCTTCACAACTTCACCAACACCTGCATCGGATTTCTTTGACTTTGAATGAGAGTCATCCTTCTTACTTTCATCACCACCTTCATCGTCCTTGGACTTTGGCTCGTCCTTGTCTTTCTTTGAATCTTTCTTCTCCTTCTTCGTTGCCTTCTTCTTCTTTTCCTCGACCAATCTTTTGGCTTTGTCATCGGCCTCTTTCTTCTCCAACTTCTTCTTCTCGGCTTTGAGGATGGTATTCCGGTCAGACTGAGAGAGTTTGCGCCATTCTTCAGGAGAATAGGTCCCTTTGGGACGCAATGACGTTCTGAACATTCGTCTACCGTCATCTCCAATCTTGTATGGGTAACCCTTGACGTTCAACTTGACCTTCTCACCATCGTCATTGAGGTATATCTTCCCATCTCCGGCTTTGCCCTTCTTCCAATGGTCTGGTTGGGCGTCGATCAGTTCCTGGAGAGTCATCTCTTCTGGATCTTTGTCTTTGTCGAAGATATCCTCGGAGTCATCAAGAGGCTTCTTTGAAACTTTTCCACCACTTGGTCCAGGTCCACCGTCGTCTCCGTCATCAAGCTCATCATCATCTTCATCTTGGTCATATTCTTCGTCATCTCCATGAGGCACTTTGGATGGATCGCCATCGAGGATTTCTCTTTCTTTCATTCCTTCCAATGTGGTGTTCACCCTCTCATATTCTTGCTTGCATGGAAATGTCAGTGGAGTGACCATCTCGACCTTTTCAGTCAAATGAGGTTTGAGAAGACGGTGTTCAGGTTTGCTAGCATCGTCACCAAGATTCTGATGTACGAATTCACTCAGAGGCCACACTTTGTACTGTCTTGACCAATGCATCCCTGGACCAATGTGATATCCTGCAAACACTCCTGGATAGAATCAGGCCCAAACTTATGAAGTTGTCCTGCTTCTCTGGTCTTCGGAGGCTTGTAGTTCACACGAGCACCGTAGGGAATGAGTTTGCCAGCAAATTCAGATCCATGGAGTTTGCACCATGCGCTCAATTCATCATCGTTGGGTTCTACGTTGAGTAGATGACATACACAAAGGATTGCTGTTCTCCAGAAACAAGGTGGTAATCCAGCTTCCAAAAGACATGTAGAAGTAGCTGTGAGAATAAATTGGTTCGTCCTTTCGGCAATTGAATTGGTTTGAGGTCTCCCAGGCAATGAATGATCAATTGGTATCTTCATTTCATTCATGGCTTCAATGAATTGAGGAGCATGATCAGAGTAAGCCTGTCTGACCTTCTTGGCGCCGATGAACTGTTTCACCGCTCTGACTACATCGTCTTTGGTCATTCGATCAGATGGATAAGCACCAATGATCCCTGTAAAACAGTCTCTGACAACCAGCACTTCCTTTTCGAGGACCAACACGTCATCATGGACTTTGGATGTGTCCACCGCATCAAAGGTAATGAGGTCGCCAAACTTCTTGAGTTCCCTCTTGTATGCACCACGACGAGTCTTGAAGTGCTTCATCTTTGCTCGAATGCATGAGTCGCAATATGGATTCTTGTATCTGTGGGTCAACTTGTGATTCAAGCTATTAGCTTCTCTCTTGAGTGTTCCTCTTTTGGCAACCCGGGATTCACCTTCGACAACATCGATCTCGATGTCATCTTCATCACCTTCAGCGGCGTCTTCAGGAGCACCATGACCATCATCTTCAAAGTCAGTCTCGTCCCCAGGAAGTTCGTCAAGCGGAGTTCCGGGATCGTACTCGCCGCCCTCAGGTGGTTCTTCTTCTTCTTCTCCAGGAGTTGCCGAATATTTTTGCCGGTTCATTGCTCTTCTCTTCTTCTTCACCTTGAGCTTCTTGACATATCGGGAACAATTTTGATCCTCAACCGATGTCTCAAGACCACTTTCTCCATCGAGATGTACTCTTCGTGAGGGTTGGCCGACATCATCAATGTCGTTGAAATCGTTAAACCCGACTTGAGAATGTGTCAATAGGTCATGGATCTTCGATGCATGATGGCATTCATGAGGAGTGCATTCGTATGTTCCAAGATCAACGTAGGGGATGTTGTCATGGATTGTCAGATCGATGCGTTCTCCATCCTTCGTAATCATGAAAGGCATTTGACCAGATGGCCATACAAAGGAGTATCCTTCTTCCATGCATCGTTTCCCAAGAGACATCACGGACGGAGTGTCGTCCAATACATAAGCATGAGAGGTCACATCAAAGGTTCCCAGGTCAATCTCCGCTTCCGTCTGAGTAGCAGTTGAACCGTTGGCGGTGTGGAACATGATAGGATCACAAGTTCGTCGCTTCAAGTTCATCCTTTCGGCTTTCCTTGCAGAAATCAGATCGTGTCCGCTGCCAGAATCCAGGATGAATCTGCGATCTTTGGCTTGTACTGGTAATGAAATGCACATCAAGTTCTTGGACTTCATGAGGGGTTTTCCAACTTCGTGCTCAACAAGCTCTTCAATAAAAGTTAAGTCCTCATGATCATCGTCCAGCTTGATCAACATGTCGAACTTGGGGCCAATGATGATTCTAACTTCATCAACAAAACGATGGAGTCCACATCTGTCCATGATGATAGCTTTGGCCCGTGCCCGGACTGAACCGAGGGCGTTGTCAGATTTGGACTGATCGTCGGTCAAGTCATCGACTTTCCAGAAGACATACTGCTTGTTGGGGTCACGATACATACGCTTGGGTAATCCCTCTTGATAGTTCTCAATGGCAATCTCGTGCACTTCAGGTTCCAGTTCAAAAGAGATCCTGCGATCATCAGAAGATTTCTTTGCACTGGCTATCCTCGGTGAGGTATAATCCATAGAATCTTCATTGTCGCTATCAAAGAAGGAATCAATGGTAATTGGAGTTGCTTTCTTCTTTGGTGTCTTCTTGCTGGTTCTCTCGGAAGATGCTGAAGGCGATTGATCTGCATGTAGGAATTTACATGTGCTTCCGAACGTGCAGGTGCCCTTTTGCCAATTCCAACATATCTTCTTTTTGGGTCCAGCTGAAGATGAACTTCCTCTACTTTTCCCCCTTGATGAATCTCGACTTCCGCTTCTGCCTTTCTTACCTTTCATCTTGGCATCATAGACCTTCTGAGAATGACTGTAAAGACACTTGTCACCTTTGTTGCATCCTCCTTTATTGAAGAAGTAGTTGCAGAAAATCTTCTTCTTGTCAACGGGTGAAGATGATCTTCCCTTCCCACCTTTGCCTTTCTTGTTGTTCTTGTCGGCATGGGATTTCGGAGAAGGTGTTGGAAGTACTGATGCAGCTTCACTCTTCGCTTTCGCCTTTGGCCGTTTGGGAGGATCACCTGTAGACGATGCAGCTGCTTCATTCTCCTTCTTGGTTTTAACGGGAGCAGCAGGTTTGTCAGCATCTTCCAGGGCAGGTGTCGTCTTGTTAGAGGACAATGACAGTTTCACTGCACGTTCTCTATCCTTCAACAGTCGTTCTTGCTTTCCTCGTGCTATGTATCCTTTGATCATGCCAGTTAGATAAGCATAGGTCTTCTCAGGATGCCCTTCATCAAAGGTTTTGTATCGGTTGATATCGAAGGCCATAAGCTTTGAATGTTCAATCTTCCGGAACAATGTGTCACGCAGGGAATTGTTGGAAGGCAGATCATCATGTTTCATATTGTATACTATGTCAAGCCACTTGTTGTAGAAGGCCTCAAGTTGGTCATCTCCATAGTAGTTGAACATATACAAATGATGGGCGTTGTAGAGAACTTCAGTGTGGTCAGGTGACTTGAAGCTAATCAGTATCATTGCGAATAGTTCTCGTCCCTTAATGAAGTCCCCACTTCTCCCATACAATTGGTTCTTCATGGACATGTCATACTTCACTTGCATGGACTTGTCCCCAGCATTGTCAATGACTTTCCTCAAGGCATTGGAGAGCTTGGCATCAATGGATTGGAATCTCACATCGGGTGCTTTGGCCAGGGCCTCCAAGTCAGGTTGATCTGCAAGACACGTAGCTAGCCACGCTTTCCAATCTTCATAGTTTCGATCTCCACTTGCAACACAAACTTCATGAACAACACTTCCCTTCCAGGATGAAAGTTCAGTGGTCTTAGGCCAGGGTTGGAGGCTGATCTTTTCGGCTTCTCTCAGAGATACGGATGATTTGGATCTATCCCTCTCGAGGTTCTCCAACTCCTTGGCATTGGTGTTGTACTCGTTCCTGAGCTTCTCGAAGGCTTCAGCTTCTGCTCGGTATTCCTGCTCTTCATCATTGGCACGATCTTCAGCTTGAGAGAAATTGTTCTTGTAATAATCTTTCCGATCTTCCATCTTCTTCAACTCATCTTGAAGATTTCGAACTTCAGTGTTCCTCTCTTGCTTCATCTCGTCCAACTCTGCTTTCAGTTTGGCACACTTCTCTTCACATTCATTCCGAGGCATAGCACTACTGGGGTACCCATGTAATGTAGTCGGTCTATTCAATGATGAAGAAGAATGAGCTTGGTTTTCCAACTTCAGGGCAGCAATGGTGCTCGACATCTCTTCTACCTCAGCGAAACGCTCATTAGCCAATTGATGCATCTCGGTCAAGTGGCTTTCGGGAATGGAATAATCAGTCGCACCTTTGATCACGAGTCTTCTGTCGTTCAACATCTTGATGGACTTACCTGCATCCCTGTGAGCACGCTCAAGAGAGTCTTTTTGGGCTTCAAGTTCAGTATGAAGGCGAGCAATGGTTGTATCCCTGTCATTGATTTCATTGTGCAAACTGTCGAACAAGTTACTCGTCACATTCGGATTGCTACTCATGTGATCGATCTTGTTCAGAGCATCTTGATACTTCTTACCAGTTTCATCGAAATGCTGCTGGAAGGTTTTGAGCAAGTTCTCAGTGTCAATGAGTTCAGTTCGGTTTTGCAAGTACAATTTGTCAACTTCAGCCTTGGATTCCTTCAAGCTGTCACGCTCACGCACGGCTTGCATATACATCTCGTATAGAGGTCCTCCATGCGGTGATCTGCTTGGTGAAGATCTTCTGGCTTGTTGACAGGAAAGTTCATGATACTGATTCTTCGATTCAGTCAGTTGTTGTTGCATTCGATCTAAAAGACTTTGTTTCATGTGTAGTTCAGAACGTAGTCCCATTATCCTCATGTCCCGCATGCCGCCTGATTCAGCTAGAGATTCTTCAGAAACCCTGTTCTCAGAAATCGCTAGTCGAGATTGTAAGTTTTCATTGTGGATCACCTGCAATCGAAGTTGCGATTCTTCCAAAGCTAAGTGATGTTCACATTCTGCATAACGGTCATGTTCAGATCTTATGTTACTATGGAACTCCTTCATGATCTCGTCCCTCTTCATGTCAGCAGCATCTAACTCAGTTTCCAGTCGCCTGACATTCATGGCCATGGTGTGCTTCATCGTCTGGTTCTGATTGGCAACCTCGAGCATCTCGATTTGTAAAGCACATGTCTGGTCATTGGCGTAGCCGACCGCCAGAGCTTCTTGCTTTGCATTCATCTCTGCGTTCTCTAATTCCAGTCTGAGTTGATTGATGTGAGCATTCGCGTCAGCGCCCACATGCACCATAATTGCGTTTGCTTGTCCCATTTGTTCATCGAATTCCGAACGTAGTCGTGAATATTTGAATTCCAAATGAGATGCAGCTTCATTCGACATAGTCTGATACCTTTCCAACTCTTCGATCCTGTAGGTCGCACCTTCATCTTCTTGTTGTGCAGCCTGTAGCTCGAAGTTCAGCATCTGGAGTTGTTCGGTCATCGACATCATCTCTTGATGAGTGGTGCTTTCCAGGAAATTAAATTGTTGATAGGCATATGCTGTCGTCTCAGTTAATCTTGCCTGAAGTACGGATTCTTCTTCAGTAGCCTTTTCCAGTGATGCTTTGTATTCAGCTAACTCGCTCTGATAGGCAGTGAAGATGTCGCTACCACTTGATGGGGCGTTCACTTGCTGATAAGATCCTGTCCCTGATGGAGTAGCGTCCTGAATCGGCGAAGGCGGATTCGACGACGTAGTCTTTGCCTTAGTCCTTGGAGTCATCGGAGGCGACAATTGTCGTGCAGATGATCTTCTCTTTCCAGGTGTGCTGTCCCTATCTTCAATTGCTTGCATTGTCGAAATTTGTCTCCCTCTAGGAGCAACCAGAGGTCGCCTGGGTAGGCTTGTTCTCAGTTCTGAGGCATCGCTTCCACCAGTGTCGATACTCTGTGAAGAATTTGACTGCGTGCCGGCAGCTGGTGCAACGGCATGTCCAGAGAAAGACAATGCATTATCGCTGCTATCCTGTTCAGTCATCTGTAAGGCCCGCGGCTACCCGCTCGTAGGCTCCGTAGGAGTCCTACGGCTGATAACCTGTGAATCGGAGGTTGTCTCCCCGATTATGTACTGTAGCTTGGTTTTGGAGTGGGTGCACTCAGCGACGACAGCACAGAAGTGGCGGCTTCAGCATGGCAATTCTTTGTTCCGGTTCCTGCAGTGGTCTTGAGCCAAAGGGGCGAGTTGACGTACCCCTTGGCTGTGGATCCTTGAGGGATGAATTATGTTGGAGTGTACAGTGTTCCGTAGCCTACACTCTATTCGCAATGTATGTATGTATGTATGTATGTATGTATGTATGTATGTATGTGTGTATGTGTGTATGTGTGTATGTGTGTATGTGTGTATGTGTGTATGTGTGTATGTGTGTATGTGTGTATGTGTGTATGTGTGTATGTAAGTATGTGTGTATGTGTGTATGTGTGTATGTGTGTATGTGTGTATGTGTGTATGTATGTATGTATGTATGTATGCATGCATGCATGCATGCATGTATGTATGTATGTATGTAATGTATGTACTGGATGTACTGGATGTACTGTATGTACTGTATGTACTGTATGTACTGTATGTACTGTATGTACATGTGTATGTGCTGTATGTGTATGTACTGTATGTGTATGTACTGTATGTGTATGTACTGTATGTGTATGTACTGTATGTGTATGTACTGTATGTGTATGTACTGTATGTGTATGTACTGTTTGTGTATGTACTGTTTGTGTATGTACTGTTTGTACTGTATGTACGTATGTACGTATGTATGTATGTATGTAAGTATATGTACGTATGTACGTACGTACGTACGTACGTACGTACGTACGTACGTACGCACGCACGTACGTATGTATGTTTGTTGGTTTGTTTGTGTATGTGTGTATGTGTGTATATGTGTATGTATTTATGTATGTATGTATGCATGCATGCATGCATGCATCTATCTATCTATCTATCTATCTATCCATCTATCTATCTATCTATGTGTCTCTGTTTCTATGTATGTATCAATGTATCTATGTATCTATGTATCTACGCATCTACGCATCTATGTAGTATGTATCTATGATTATCTAAGTGTCTATGTATCTATATATCTTTTTATCTATGGATCTCTCTATCTATCCATCCATGTATCCATGGAACTAAGTATCTACGTATCTATGTATACTACAAGGGTTACAACTAGACATGGGATGTTGTGGATCACAAGTCAAACACCGGGAAGACTGAGCTCCTGGCCTCAGCTGAGCTGCTGTTCGGTCTCGTGTTGTCGGAGCTGCTGTTGCTTGTGGTGTTCGAAATCATGTCAGTGGTGCTAGTTGAGGTGCCAATTGGGCTGGTTGGGCTGGTTGGGCTGGTTGGGCTGCCCGTGGTGCTTGTGGGGATGCTCTCAGTGGAGCTCATGGGTGGTTCCGTGGTGGGAACTGTGCTACTTGTGGTCGTGGTGGGAGGTGTGATGCTGCTGTTGCACTGGGCACTTCGGATGGCACCTGAAGGAGGCAGACCACCAAACAACCACAATTGCAACAGCAAGAAAGAAACACCAGCACCCGCAGCAGGACTACCACCAGCAAACTTATCAATAATGTCGGTGTGGGTGCATCGGCAGCAGCCTCAGCAATATGCTTAGCTTCTGATGTCCTTCTTCTTGTCTGTGTCCGCAAGCTTAAAGTCTCTATTCAGAAAAGAGAGACTTCAAGGAACTGAATGTTGAAAGTTTCCCAAATATAGGGCCTGTGTTGGCTTGTCTGTTGGCTTGGCTCTTGAGAATATGCATTTACGGCTACAGATTTTCAACCTTGTGGTACCCACAAACATGGATGGCGGAAAAAACAACAGCCTTCGCGCCTTCGCCATCTGTCCAGGTCCCGTCTGGGCATGCAGTGCAAGAAGTGTAGCCAAAGCCATCTCAAGTGCGATTGCTGCGATAGAGATCGATGGAGCGGGATTCAGGCTTAGAAAACCACAAGATGTGTATTTTCTTTAAAAGGAAAGAATGAACAGCTTGCACCAGAAATGCAGCCTTCTCGTTCTAGCTTGGTTTTCAGGGGATGGTACCACCAGGACCCGTTCATCCCACAGACTTCAGCGGACCAAGTCCCTACAGACAAGTTGTGTTCACAGGATGGAATACATGGTAGACAAAGATATGGCCCATAGACATCAATAAAACAATGATGTACAACTTGTAAGCTCAAAGACACCAGCCGAAATCACCAATCAGGCCAAGATGCCACCCCAGGTGCCTGGACGCACAACAGAACATGCTATTCACCCTTGAAATGGGACGTCTACCAAGTCTACCATGAACTCAGCACCACTCAGCACCACTCAGCACCACTCAGCACCTTCAGGACATCTCGAACAGCTCGAAGCTCCCACTTGGTCCGAGAAGTTTCCCACAGCACAAGGGATGCAGAGGGCCAACTCCGCAGCCGCCTCGCCAGGTGATGAGGCATGAAATAGCCATATATTATAGAATATATGGATCGGGGTGCCAATTCATTATGTGAAGCTGTGCAGGAGTTTTAGAGCGGTCTAACTTTTGTGCATAGGCCTCAGGCTTTAAAATGCACAAAAACAATGAAAACTGGCTCTGCAATAAAATGCCTTGCCACCAAATTCATGCTTGAATGTGCATCCAACATCATCCAATTTCATCCAATTTTGAAGACCCTCAGAAACGCATCTTTAAAAAGAGGTCAGGAAATCCATTTTAGATAGGTGTATTTTAGAGTAAAGGTGCCCAAATATTTAGTGTGTTTTTTTAAAATAGCATTCTATAGCAACAAAATACGGTGGCATTCTTTCGTGGCAATTCCTTAAAATTCCTTAAAAATCCTTTAAATTCCTTAAAATTCCAAAAAACTCCTTTAAAATCCTTAAATATCCTTCAAAATTTAAAAACATTAAAGATCCTTAAAAATCCTCCGAATTCCTTCAAATTCCGTCAAATTCCTTTAAATTCCTTAAAATTCCTCTAAGGTTCCTTTAAATTCCTTAAAACTCTCTAAATTCCTTAAATTTCCTTATAATTCCTTTAAAATTCCTTAATTATATTCCTTATAATTCCTTTAAAATTCCTTAATATTCCTTAAAATTCCTTAGAATTCCTTAAAATTCGCTGATCTAAAATGACATGCCCAATAAAATCGATATAAAAAGATCCTGGAAAAGCATTGGTTCCATTCTGCAATAAAATGCTCCAAGCAAACATTGTTTTGCAATAAAATGAGATGGAATTTTAACATGTTAAAAAACACCAGGATTTACCTTTACAATAAAATGCTTAGCCCAACCCCCCAACAATAAAATGACTAGCCTGACATCAATTTTAAAATTCCAATACATTAAGAATTTCGTTTAAACTATGCACAGGTTCACCAGTTCTAGAGTGGAAATTGCCACGGGGATATATATGGTACTTCTATGTGAGATATACATATATAAATACATATAAAAATCTTTTGTATGGGAATGTAATATAACATTCTAGCCAACAATGAAAAATAAAATTATAATTAATATTTAGTATTCCCACACATAGCCAACACTTAGATAGCCATATATTATATACCATGTGGAGGTTTCCAAGTATTGAAACCCATGGTTTTGTCATCAGACCAATTTAGTCTTAGTATTGAAACCCATGCTGACTTGGGGATCCCCCATTTCAGGAAACACCCATAGCCAAGAATTCTAAGAATGTAACCTTATACCTTGGGGCCTAAAATCAACAACCTCAACCACAGCAACAATGGCAGGTGACCAGCAACTATCCAATGTCTTGGTATGTCCAAAACGCGGATCGGTGTGGAGTCCATTTCTAAACAGCCACGGATGAACGCCAGACTCACAAGCTGTGGCTCAACCCCCGTCTGGCCTCAATGGGTTGGTAGGTACCCTTGGGACACAGAAGGCAAGTGCTTGACTCCGTGGCACCAGAGATGTTGCTGTAGGTTCCCACCGGACACCTCGACAGCCACCACAAGGATTCGTGGCTCATCATTTCTAGCACCAGGGACGGTTGTCACATCAAAAAATGAAGTGTTTCTTTCTTGGGATCTATTTTCTTGGTGGGTTTTCCCATAGAACCATTTTTGGATGTCAGGATTCTTCGCTACCGCAGGGAAACCACCAACTCGCTATTCCTGGTTGTTGGGAACCTTAGCGCAGCTGGAGCACTTGGTGCAATTGCTGACCCAGCCCTGTCCCGTTGCATTGCTCCACCTGCGCAGGAATTTCTCGTCTTTGGGCTGAAAATCTTCAGCAGTTTCAACAATCCCAGCGTTGAATGAAGGACATGTTGCAGGAAATCAATGATGCATTCAATGGATGCAAAGATATGCAAAGTGTCCCGTTTTGGAAAACACCTGCCAGGTAGGCAGGCAGCACAGTTCTCCACACTGGTGGAGCCCAAGTTCTCCCCAATGGTGCCAGCAGGGCAGGCAGCGCAGGTGTCAATGTTTTTGGCACCTTGTGCAATGGATTTGTTTTTTTCAGGGAAAAGTTGAAGAAATTGGTGAACAACTGGGAAAGCGACATGAAATTGCTCCCGATATTTGATGAATCCATTGGCTGTCAAGGTGAAGCACCAGTGCTGAGTGCGACAACAAAATGAGCGGTTTCCAGAACTTGTTCCAGTTGATTGATGAATCAGAGAATTGATTTCAAAGCAGGCTACCAAGGAATGGTTCAAGGACTCGTTGCAAAAAATAGAGCGTGTACAGTGGCAGTTTGTCCAATACAACCCACTTGCTCTTGCTCAAGGGATTACAATGAGATGCTCGCATCGAGATTTGGGTGTTTGTCCAAGGCAGGCCCATTTATCAACCCCAGAAACCAAGGGGTCTCATGATCTGCCAAGGGCCTTGCCCGTTTACCCAGCCATGCCCAAGCCGAAGCCGGGCGTTTGTGACCTTCCGCACTGCTCCAAAAGGCACGCGGACACGCTTCGCAGCTTTCAAAGGAAGAGCCACCAGACTGGGACGAGCTGCGAATGGGAGTTCAACCCACCCAATGGGATTCTGACCCATGGCATGTTTACCTGACATAAAATGGAAATTCAACCAACAAGAACAGGCAAAAAGAGTTCCCAACATGAACAAACTAGCCATCCCCAAAAGGTACAGTACACAAATTACACAACCACATCATTGATAATGGAAACACATGGAAACAACAGTTTGATGATTCCACACGCCAGCCACCCTTTGGATCCTTTGATATCCTTTGGCTACGCAAAATTACACCAGACAGGTGGATGACTTAGTTCCACTTGTCGTTCCACGAGTCTGGACACAGGGGATTAATCACTGACTGTTGCTATATCGTGAACTGCGTGTTCTGCTGGGTCCTCAAAATATGACCCGTCCCAAGATGTGTCATGGTCAAGTTACATGCGGCAAAATGGTGATCCGTCCCATGATAGGAATCGTGGGCATAGATGCTATTCATGGATTGACGGGAATATTCTGTTGTAAAGATGTTCAATGGTATCCCTTCACGGAATCTTATTTATTGGGTTCAGGACGCACCGCATCCTTTTTGCCATGCACGTAGGTGTTGACACCATGACTTCTTTTAAGTCATGACACCTGGAGAATATACCAAGTCTCCTAAATTCGACTCATGGCAGAGTCTTATCAAACATGCAACCTTAGCCCATGGCAGGGCATCCAAGCCCATGGCAGGGCTACCTTCGTTTTTGCATTGGCGCGACGCATCAGTCAGCCAAGCACTGGTTCAACGGCGCCTCTTCGAAGACGCCTGTCCTCTGTTTCCCTTTCCAAGTGGCCTAAGGGGGGGTTGGATGTGGGAGCCTGAATGCTACCCCCAAAGGCAAAAGCATGCTCCATGCTTCTTCACCCAAACAGTCGATGCGACTATTTTGGGTTCAGGACGCACCGCATCCTTTTTGCCATGCACGTAGGTGTTGACACCATGACTTCTTTTAAGTCATGACACCTGGAGAATATACCAAGTCTCCTAAATTCGACTCATGGCAGAGTCTTATCAAACATGCAACCTTAGCCCATGGCAGGGCATCCAAGCCCATGGCAGGGCTACCTTCGTTTTTGCATTGGCGCGACGCATCAGTCAGCCAAGCACTGGTTCAACGGCGCCTCTTCGAAGACGCCTGTCCTCTGTTTCCACGCTTCCCACTAGGCTTGCCTGAGTGCTCAGCAATGAACATAGCTGAAAAAGAAGCCACCTGTGATTTAGCTCGCAAACTCATAGTCAAGGAAGGCAGCAACGCCAATCCATCACAGATGTAAATTCTTGCAATGTTAGAATTCTTCCACCTCCCTCGTATGAGGGTCTTTTCCATAAGTCCATGGCTTTGCATCTCATATGTGGCACCACCCCGTCTCAAGGAGTAAGGTCTGAAGCCGAGCGCGGAAAGATCCAGCCCAGCCACAGCCCTGCGAAAGAGATCGCGAAAGGAGCTGCCACTCTTGTTCCAGCAGGGAACCTGCCTGAAACCAAGTTGGGTCTGTAGATGCACCATCGCCCGGGCAACTTCCAGCGTGGTGGGATCTGAGATAGCCACGCTCTCGCGACTGTTGTGACGGATGCCACTCTTGCTGCTAGGGAGCGTGACCAAACCTCGGTCCGTCTCCAGCAGGAAGTCACAGGGCCGCACCGTTAACAACTCACCGGTGCGGAGGAGGCAATGAAATCCCAGAAGAATAAGCCCGGCCATGACCAGCTCATCCTGGGCCAAGCACCACCCGGCAAGAGCCAGCGCAATGTCCTGCGTCACTGGTGGCGCCCTGCAAGGGACTTCATACTTCCTCCAAATGGAATATAAGCGCCAACTTTTATGTAGCTTGCGCCGGGTGCTCGGCTCGAAGTGGTGTAGGCCGCACAGCGCGTCCCCCACAAGGTGGAGGGGCGTCCCGTCCTCAAATTCCTGTTGTACCCAATCTGCTATGGTCTCATCGAGCTCAATCTCTGAATTGACCAGCTTCAAGCAAGGAGCCAGCCGTGAAACTGCTGTATAGTACCGCTGAAGTGTAGCGGAGGTGATACCAACATCCTCAAGGATGATGTCCTTTCGTGCCCTTTTCCGTTGGGCTTGTGTAGACTGGCCTGGCCAATAGTTACGCTCTGCTGTCATGGTCCGTTGGGTTTTCTGTGCTCTCAACGTGGGACACAATCAATTGTAGGTCCCAAGCCAGCAAGGCTGCTGCCAGCCGGCCGAGGAGAGGTTTGAGCAACTGGGCCGAACTCCTCCCCTTCGAGATCACGCTCATGGCCACATAGGAGTCAGTGAGGTGAAAAACCCTAAGATGACATTCTTTGAGGTGCCTAATCCTCCATTCAATACTGTGAATTATGGACCTAAGTTCCAAATTGTTGATGTGATCCGACTTGGCCCATTTGTAGGCAAAAACTTTCGACCAGTTCCACCAGTTCGCACACGCACTTTGCCTAGGGTAGTTCTTGGGATTTAGAATACTTCCTGTACTGATACGGACATCCGATCCAGTATGGTTCACCCTCCTAAGCATCGAGCCATGCAGTGCTGCGACCCCCACATTAGTTCCCTCTGAATTTCCATAGCTCAGGGCTCGCTGCAAGGGGCAAACAACATGTATTGGGGGACCAAAACCCGGGGCCAAACCAGCACGATTCCAAAGGATGTCAAAACTGGGGATGGTGATGAATCGTTTGCACATCATAGCCGCCACAAAACTGAAGGAAAAACAGTTGAAGCTGTCCCCAATAAGTGTTTTCCTCATGTCCTCATAGCCCTTTGGATTACGCTTTATATCCCCAGCATTCCAACATATGGCTGTATGATCATAGCCCAAACCATGGAGTAACTCACGTTCCTGAGCTGAAATCAGCCGCCACTTGTTTTTGAGCCAGATGACAAAGCGGTCACCATATTGATATGGCGGGAAGCGGAATTCGTCCGCTTGCCACCGAAGGCGCCCCTCATGGGACACTCGTGAAAGGCCGGCCGGCCGCACCGGCGGTCTATCGCGCCTGATGCTCTTCATGCATGTCGGCAGGATCGCTCCTTCGGAGAAACCTGGCCACTCAGCGCCAGGTTCAAGCCACTGCTCTAGCTCAGGGTAGGGGTGCCACAGGCAAATTTCCAGCCAGCGCCCCTTGTCTGTCACCCAAACCCCCTCCATGGGTTCAAGCTCTGTGTTTGTCCAGCATAGTCTAGGCCTGTGAATAGGAACGGAGTCGGCAGAGTCCATCCTCCAAGGAGTAGTTCCCAGCGCCGCTGTGATCTCTCTTTCAGTGCTCTCATCCATGCTTGCCACGTTCTCTGCCGCGAACCTGACCTTAAACGCATAGCCAAACTCTTTCCGGACCAATTTGATGATCCGTACCAGTTCCCAAAATAGGCTGCTCTGGTCTCCCTCGAGGTTTCTCCTTCCGAACTTGGCTGAGCAGAGGTCTGAACAGGGGAATCCGCCCCATATATGGATCTCCTCTATCTGGGGATAGAGGTACTTCCATTCACGGACTGCGGCAGCATCCAGGGCCCTGACATCACCCTTGATCTGCACATGAGGCCACCGGCGACTGGTGACCCTATTCCCTTCTTTCGATATCTCATACGAGATGCAGACCTCTGGCAGCACGCCGCACAGATCGTAGCAGCGGAAGGCACATCCCACGCCATTGAAGAGTGACACCACCAATACGGGAATGCGGAGACCCGCACTCGCACCGTTTGAGTCGGCTGCTGCAAACTCCTCCCCAGCCTTAGTCAAGCTCCGGGCGCAGCCAACAGCACCCCCAGTGGAGGAGGCATCACTGGCGGTTGTGGTGTCACTCAGTCCAGCCCGCAGGTTGGTATGAAACAACCAGCAGCCGGCACAGCAGTTGAGAAGTTCTGACCGCACCCAGGCCTCAGCAAGCGCCCCCACAGCCTTGCCTGAGATAAACTCCCAGGTGCGGTCCAGGAACATCATGCACGGCCTGCGGAAGGACATACAGTGGACCCACCTGCCAGCCAGCACTTGAACCCACTTCTTCTTCAGCTTGGCCTTGCTGATAACCACAAATGTCACCTGGATGAGTTTCATCAACCTCTCTTTGCTGGGGCCAATAGTCCCATTGTCTCCAGAGATGAACGCCCCCAGCTCTTGCGCTTCAGTCTCACCTGATACCCGTTTCTTGGTGGCTGAGAGCACTCCAGCAGCTCCCCACGCTTGTTCAAGGGCCAAGTGCCAGTCTCCAGCCTGCTGAGTGCCCGTCTCAACAGCACCCAGCTTCTGCATGCCGCAGTAGTTGTCCAGGTACACATGGTACCATGATCGGCCAGCTGCCGTTGCCTCCTGGCAAACATTCATCCGCCAGGAGGGCAAGGGGGCTGTGCGCCGGATTCGATGATCTGCAGGGAGCCCGGCCAAGGTCGTTAGCCTCTCAGCCAGCTCCTGCATCACCGACACCGCACTAGCCCATCCCATCGGGATAACCATGCAGGCAGGCCGGAAGCGCATGCCATGCTGCAGTCCTATCTCCTCCCCCAAAAAGCTAATGTTGAAGGCCATCATTCTCTGCCAAACTTTGGGTAACCGAAAGAGATAAAAAGCACTTGTCATATCACTTTGATAAAACGCCAGTTTCTCATCTTGACGGAGGCACAAAGACAAGTACTGAGTCACCGAAGGAAGGTCACGGGTTCCCCCTTGAGAATGTCTGAAAACTGCATTGCATGGAATAAGATTCATGATGATCCGCTGCACTTCTTCCCCGGTTTCCAAAAAGGTTCCTTTCCCCACTGCAAACATTCCACTAAGAACTTGTTGTTGATCAACCACCAAAACATCAGCATCGCGGACCCAACTACAAATATTGCGTTCCACCAACATCTCAAAAAGCTTGAGGGATTCCCCGGGTTCCACATGTACTTTTGCCTGCAACTTTACAGAGGGTTCGGGCCGTTCCAACAAGCTAGCTTCGGGGTGATCCAAAAACCATTGTGTCCCCGGGCATACCAGCATCCTAGCATCAATAGAGCCACCATGAGATTTCGGGGGAAGAGCCGGTAGGGCCTGTTTCAACCTCAACACCTGCATCTTGGGTACTTCTTCTCCCGTATAACTCAAATAGCGAGACGCCAGCTCTTTTTCTGCCATAGCTGGGGTACGCTCGATGGCAAAGCTCCCTGGCAGCACCCGTCGGATGCTAGTTCTCAGCGACCGCACTGCCTCAGTCTGGACAGCGCTTCCCTTGCCAGCTCGCGCAGCACGGCCGTGGCCAGCTACGCAGTTCAGGGATAGTATGGCCAGGGCCAGCCACACGTCTTCTGTCTCGTGCTCAGCAAAATGCTGGTCACAGAACTCCTCCAGCGTCGCACCATCAACCCGCTGCTGCAGGTACGCTAAGTCTCCCAGCGGCAGGGGGAATAGAGGCCGGGCCCTTGAGGGCCAGCCCCGGTGCATGGCAGGTGCCTTTGCACGCTTTCCTGTAACCACCAATCTCAGAGCTGGGTGAACCTCCCGCTCCAGTTCCAGTTGAGGGAATCTCAAAAACATCCAGAGCATACAGCGGCCAGCGGCAGACACGGAGTTGCCACGGCCTACTAACTGCTTCAGCAAAGCGACTCCCTTTTCCAGACCTGGGGCCAGAGGCAAGGCTGTTGCCAGCTCCGATGCCAGTCCAGCGTCGCCTGAATTCGATTGTGAAACGACTGGGCCTTTCAGCCCTACTTCCCAGGCTCCTCCTGGGTCTCCTTCCAATGGCTCACCTCGTTCTTGTGTGCTGGAGACCCTTTCCCAGCACCTCGACCTTTGCCTTTTCCTTTGCCCTTCGGGGCATCGCCCTTTTTGCCCTTCTCGCTCCAGGGCTGTCCACCTCGTCCTTTTCCGCCTCCTTGGCTGTTCCACCTGTTTGGGGTGTAGCCCTGGCTCCGCTGGATCAGGCGTCGATGCCGTTGCGCCTGCAACATTGTCGACACCGTAGCCGACTGGACAGGTTCCAGCGGAAACATCTCCAGTTGGCTGGCCACTTGCCAGTTGCCGTCTCCTAGCGCCGTGTGGACGGCTATGAAGCGGCTTGCCAACGAGTCCGCGCACTCCGGAAGGCGTCCAGCTCTCAGAAGATCTATGGACTGCCCTAGCGCGAACAGCTCTCGGACCAGGGGGCTGCTGTTTGAGTGGAAGGGCCGGATCAGCAGGGCAAAGAAGGTTGAGATTTTTATCCCACTCGTCAGCCCCGCCGCCGCTCCTCCTTCTTCCAGCAGTGCGCCCTGGTCGAGCTGTTGCTGCGCGTGACGGACAAGCATCTCCATCACGGAGCCCGGCTCTTTTGCAGCTTTCTTTCGAAGCGGCGCCTCGTAAGACAGCTCCGAGTCTTCGCTGCTGTCGTCCTTTCTCCTCCTTCGGCGGCTCCCTGAAGAGGAACTGGATGAGCTGCTTGGACCTGATCCATCGCCGCCTTCGGGATCTGGCTTGATACCCGACGTCTCTCCCCGATGACCTCCGCTGCCTCGATCCTTCCGTTTCTTCTTCTTCTTCTTTTTCCCTCCTAGGAGCTCTGCTAGTTTGCGGATAGTCCGATCTGTGGACCCCTCCTTTTTGTCCTTCTTCTCCTTGTTCTTCCGCTGAGAGGTTTGCACGGCTTGGGCCAGCAAAACCGACGAAGCATCGCCCTTGGCATTCAGACGCTTCTTCAAGCGCCTCACCTCGTCGTCGCTTGTATCCACCGATGGGCCGATGGGCAGCGGTGTCAATACGCCAGGATTGAGGGCTGTCCCAGCCACCAGCCTCCTCTCTGCCACTGCAGAGCCTGTAGGTCCTAGCCCGGCACAACCAGCTAGGCCCTCGGCTGGCTGTCGTGGCCTGGGCCCCCCACCCCCAGCTATCCGCTGCCTTGTCTCTTGCAGTATCGACCGCAAGTGGGCCCTCTGCGAAGCGTCGGCACTCCCATACTCCCCTGTGCTCGGGTCGCCATCGGCTTCCAGATCGATGCACTCGCCAGCACCGACCCGAATACCCTGGCTGCCCAGCGCCTGGGGGGCTCGTGCTTTTGACTTTGCCCTTCTCTTTGGGGCCGCACCAGCAGGCGCTTTGGCAGGCGCCTTGGGGGGTGCTATGCCACTTTCCGCATTGAGGGCGTTTTTCACGATCGCCTTGCCTTGTCTGCTCAAGTAGGTCGCATTGAAGTTGCGCAACCTCCACAAGCGCACCTTTGTGGCATGTACCACCCTTTCGCTCTCTTTTTCGCACGGGTCCCCCTTGCAGAGGTGAATGAACCCCATGCTGAGAGTCCCCACCAACTCTGGGAGATATGTGGTATTTTCGCAGCCCAACACGTCGCCTCCTACCAACAGTCCAGACTCGTCGTCGAGGTCGACCTCCCTGACAAGTATTGCAAACCACTCTTCCGTGCCCATGCCCACTGAACAGCCGGCCAGGCAGACTTCCAGGATGCAACCGACAGGAACTGTCAACAGCACCCAAGCCACGTCCCCAATAGAAACTTCCTCTCCTTCTTCCACCCCAAAATCCAACAGGGTGGACTCCTCTCCTCCTTTCTTTGGCTTCGGCATTGCGCCTCTCAATGGGGCGATGGGGGGTTATCCCAAAAGCTCCCCGGTTGTTTGTGATGGAACCGCCTGTAAGGGTCCTCACGCGCTCTGTGCAGCTTCTGGTGTTTGGTACCTCCTCTGTGGCCGTGTCGCTTCTTTCTCTTCTTCTGACCGTCACGTGGGCGCTCAGGTTCCCTCTCCTCTTGGCGTCTCCTTGAACGGGACCGCGGTCGAGGATGTTCACGATCTCCTTCTGTTCGATGTGACCTAGACTCGTGTCTGTGCCCGTCGGACTCCCTCCGGCGAGACCGGTCCTCTCTATTTCCGTGGGCACGGATGTCTCCAGCCTCACGGGAGTGGGACCTTCCTGTCTGGACCCTACGCCTTGGGATCTCACTCCTATCCTTCTCACTCGCCGCCTTAGGTACAGCCTTGAGGCCAGGGACACGATCAGTCTCCAGCTCGGTCTCCTCCTCTTCGTCCTCGCTGTACTCAGAGGCCTCTCCTCCGTCAGTCTCTGATCGCTTGTCCTCCTCTTTCACGGGCTTCTCAGGAGGAGGAGCCGCAGGAGGTGCTGATGCCTCTGCCCCGGGGGCTGCGCGACTTTCGTCAGCAGCCTGAGCCTCTGGAGGCGCCGAGGGGGCTTTTCGTGACTTCTCGGGGGTGGTGGCTCGGGCAGACCCAGCACCAGCCAAGCCCAACCGGCGCAGGGCACGGAGCTGCCGGACCGCAGTGGTCAGCACGTCCGTTGCCAGCACCCGTGTGGCCTGATTACCCCAGCCACACTTCAGCTCCCCGGCCAGCGCCTCCACAGAGGAACAGCAGAGGCACCAAGTATCACCCAGGTAAGGTTCCCCCTGGTGACACTTATTGCAACGCAAGGCCATTCAACCCTGCTTGAGCCTGAATGCTACCCCCAAAGGCAAAAGCATGCTCCATGCTTCTTCACCCAAACAGTCGATGCGACTATTTAATAGGAACCCCACTATGATTAATCCCTTCATGGAATCCTATTCATGGATTGATGATCCCCGAATATGGACAAGCTCCCCAAGTTTTGACCATGGCACATACCAAAAACTGGGCAGGTCAATCGATCTGGGTCAACCCCCCGCTGACCACAGATTGCTCCATTGCTCTTTACCCCACAACTGGCTGCCCAGATTGATTTTGACCGATATGGATCGATATGGCCCATACCAATCATCATTGTCTGGATTCTCTCCGCCATGTCTTGTGCTTAAACCATCTTAAACCCCCATTGTTAGTCTTAAATCCCCATCACCGCAATCACCAAATGTCAACCGTCGGCCACCACCTTCCCCACTGCCTCCGTGCTAAAACGTCCAGCCGTGCAGTTTTGGCACAAATCCTCGTGCGCACCTCTCCTGAGCCCATGGGTCAATGGATAAATCCCCAATTACAATGGAATGGCCTAGAATGTCGAGTTAATGGATGAATCCAAACATGATTGAAATCACTGGCTTACTGGATCTTGAATCTTCATCCATACCCACCAAGTGGATCACAAGAAAAGATCTCCCACTCCAATGCTGCAAAGGATTGTGAAGTTCTGGATGATTTAGCCTGCTGGTCGGGTTTGCAGGAAAGGACGTATCTAAAACAAAGAAGGTGGAAGAGGAAACCACCGTGTTTTCATTTCGAACTGGGCTTGACAGAACCTTTTGCAGCACAAAAACGCTTGTGCTAAGCATCCCCTTGACGAAAAATCGCAGTTCATTTTCAGCTATGCAGCTATGGTTTTTCAAATGTTGCTCAGACATCAGACTATCAATAGGAATCCAAGGCGCACGTCGCTCCAGGTGCCGGGCAAACAGCGCTGGCCTCAGGGTCCAGGGAGGTCCGGAAGCCATGAAATCAGGGGAATAGATGTTCCAAACATTTCGAAACCATGGAATTGGGTGGGAAATAAGTCAGACAAACCCAGGATGTGAAGGAATCGAACGCAGAAATCCGCCGACCCCAGCCGATGGCAGGGGGAGCGCATAAGAGGAGCCGCAAAGGAAAACCGGAGCAGAGGCAAGAACAGCGAAATTTGAAGCAGGGATCTGGGCAAGAAAGAACGCAAGAGCCTGGGCAAGAAAGAAGCGCAAGAACCACGAAGAGGGAAGCCCAATAGGCAAGGTTTCTTGTCGGTTCAGAAAGTAACGTTCCACATGTGGGGAGACAAGGCGAGACAAGGCCTCGGAAACGTGGACACACCGCCGTGAACAGGCTGGGACCTGGGCAAGAGGGAAGTGCAAGAGCCAACAACAGGCCAATTTCAAGCTAGCTTCTTGTCAGTTCAGAAACTAACGGCCTGAGGCACTGGCCGCTGCCGGTTGGGGGCCGTTTTCGTCACTTACAGAACTTGTTGTGGCAGACATTTTGTACAGTATCACGTTCGTCCTCTTTTGTTTTGGTGATTGCTTCTCTGTTTCTGTTTGCATGGATAAATGAGGAACCACTGCACGGCGAGCGGTAAGAGCCACGTACTAATCTGACTAGCTCCCTCCCCCGCAAATGCATGCACTGCATTTGCATGATTGCACGGTGCTTCTCAAATGAACCAGATCTGTTTGGTTCTTTATGGTTTCTGCTGGCCCAATACCAACTGCTAAGCCTCTGGGGTCGGCGGCAGGGGGCGTAGCCCCTTTATATAAAGTCCGATTCTATCGCAAAAGGATAGAAGCAGCATCAAGTTTGGTGGTGCGACAGCTTGAGGGTTTGTATTGAAAGGACAGGAGTGAACAGCAATTGCAAAAAATCAAGAAGATATACAGAATGCATAGCATGCATACGAAAATCGCTAATGTGGCTTATCTAATCGTCTTCATGTCAAGCCCGGATCGACAAACCTTTGGACTGTCTACTTGACAGGGGTCCTTTAGAAGGCAAAAGTATCACCTTTGGGTAGTGCCAGTAATGCCCATTCATTTGCCAGGGCTCTCAAAACATCAATATCAATCACACTGTATTTTTTCTTCAAACCTTCAAATTGTGCTATTCTCTTCTTAGCAATCCCTTTCATACTTATCATACTTTTTCGGCGCCAAGTGGCACGACTCCAATGCGGTGGCCCCCTCTGCCGTGCTCCAAGTGCCCGCCGGGCAGGGACTGCAGGAGCCGATATCCCCCAGCCCAGTGGAGTTGCTCCAGGTGCCCGAGGGACACAGCATGCACGCCTGGCTAGGCAGTTTCTCTCGTCATTTTTTGCACACAGACAGATGATGAAATGTCAATTTACTTATTAAGAACCATGTTCTTTCAAAGGTGTTGAACGTGTGAAGAAAATGTAGAACAGAGAAACGAAGGAAGAACAGGTCAAGTGACGGGTTGTTTTTTTAAAGGTTTACTACACTAGTAGGCAGATCGCCACCGGCTAGTACGGCTAGTACAACCCCAGCTGCAACCCAAATGGGAGGACGACCCGTAGTTTCCAAGCACACCAAGGTTGCCAAACAAGTGTGTCCAACTAAAAGGAGGTCCCGGAACTCCAAGGTGCTGTTTCCTCAACACCAAGACATGATCTGAACACTCCAGGCCGTGCCCTCCCGTGCCTGCAGTGCAGTAGCCCCCACTTGGCTACTCCAGGTGCCTTCTGGGCAATGTTGGCAGCTTTCTGCAGAGGTCGCCCCTCTCAGATCGCTCCATGTTCCAGCCACGCAGCTTAAACAGCTTCCAGTGCTACTCCAGGTTCCTTCAGTACAAGGCAAGCAGGGAGCCCCGGGCGCAGGTCGCCCCTGACCGGCACTGCAGGGACCCGTGGGCAGCGCGGCTGCTTGGTGTTGCAGCAACCGCAGCCCCTCCTCGTCGTCAAAGACCTCACAGCGCTCCGGGGCGCTGGCACTCGAAGCGAACGGAAGGAGGAGCCAAAGGCGCATGTAGAAACGCTTTCTTTGAGAAAAAGACATGAAGTTGAGTCTAGGAGTCTAGGCCCAGCTTGAGCCAAAGGGTTTTACATGAAAGTCATGGTCGTGAAAGTCATGAAAGCATGTCTACCTGATCAAACAATCGCCCATTCAATGCCAAGGGTGAACCCAGAGTTACGCAACACACAGCCAGTTCTTCGCCTTCTGAAGTTGGCAGGAATTCCGAGCTGATGAGCAAAGCTGGCTGCACTGCATAGGCACTGTACATGCTAGCGGCAGCAACGACAAGGTCTTTCCAACCTCCCAGGTGTCACAAGGGACAACCTTGGAGCAAAAACAGCAATGGCGCTCACAGCCCGAAAGTCTTGCTTTTCTGCGCCACTGAAATACGCGCAGGGTTCTAACTTGCTTCACTGTTCGCACACTTGGCTCAAATTCTCGAGAAAGTGTTCGCGTGAACAATGTCACCATTGTCGCCCACAGCCGAACCTTCATTTAGGAAGGTCCTGGGAGGGGAAGAGCAAATGCTGGCGGTCCATGGACCAATGGGGAATTGAGACTCGAGCTCCATACAGTCAGAAATTGTGAAAGGAGAAATCGGCCACGTCTTCTTGTCATACAAATACATGAATATGATATATCCTGTCTATCCTCTGGTAAGCTGTCCTTTGCAAGGGAAATCCATCAGTGGTACATGATGCATTGTCATGATGACCAAGGGGCAGTTGGATTTTACTTCGACTTGCTTTCCTACTCAGTAACTGCAGAGCGGTCAGCTGCAACCGGTGGCGGTTGCGGCGTCGAACCCCCAGCCAAATCTCACACGGCTTCTCACTTGGGCCGGAAGAGAGGAAGATTGCCCTGAGTGGCACACCTTGGCAACTGCCAACTTGCCCCAGACCGTGCCACTTCCAACTGCAACTTCTCTGGTTGTACCGAAGTCAAATGTATTCAGGTCAATTTCGCTGAATGATCCCGCGTCGGAATGGAGAATGAACATATACGAAACTAGCAACAACCCAACCAGTTTGATTTTTCTGAGAACATTATTCTGTATCTCTGCAGGGCTCCACGCAGAAATTTGTCCGTGCGCACCGCATTAGACTCCTTGATGCTTGGAAGATTTGGCTGTGGCCTCAAAAGTGATACTCCTGCACTTTGGAGAAAAAAAAACTCCCAGTGAATTGCACTCATCTCAAATGATGTTTATAGATTTTATAGCAAACTGATTTAAGGCATTTTAGCACCGTCAAATTCATCATCTCCGTGAGGACCAGACTTTTTGGGCTGTATCACTGAGCCTCAGGTGACGAAAGGAGGTGACGTATCGAGGTGGGAGGCCGAAGGAGCAACCATGGTCACAGTGGTCACCATGGTCCACCAGGTCAGGAATCAAAACACATATTTAAGGCATCAAAAAAAAACTGGAGCCCCTCGTTTTCTATGGCCCTCGCAACAGTTTGGAGGCGAAACCGAACGTTTTGCAGGCGTTTTGTGAGCATTTTGTGAACATGTTGGAACTCGACGCTGCCGTGTTGACGATATTTGCAACACTTTGGAGTTCGAACCTCTCATTTTCAATGGTTGGTTTTAAACTTGTTTAACGTTGGCTCAGGGTTATTGAGGGTTGGTTTGGGGTTTATTTGAAGTTGGTAGAAGGGTGGGTTCGTTTAGGGGTTATTTAGGTTCGATGTATGGGTTATATCAGGGTTCTGTTGGGTTTATTTAGGGTTAGTTTTTAGTTTATTGATGGGTGGTTTAGAGTTAATTATGGATTGGTTTGGGGCTATTTAAAGCTGTTTTAGGGTCTAACTACAGTTGTTTTAGAGATTATTCAGGGCTGGTTCAGGGTTAGTTAAAGGTTGACTTATGGTTTGTTTACTTGGTATTGTTTAAATTTATTTAGAGTTGGTCAAGGGTTTATTTAGGTTTCGCTCAAGACTTATTGGTAGGCTTCGTTTTAGACTTATTGAGGGTTGGTGTTTGGTTTATTTTGGGTTGGCTTGTGGTTTGTTTAAAGGTTTCCATGGTTTATTTAAGGTTGGTCTTATGGTTGGTCTTAGGGTTAGTCTAGGGCTGCTCAAGGATGGTTTAGAATTTATGTAGGTGCTGTTTACAGTATTTTCTAGGTAGTTTAAGATTTAGGGTTGGTTTGTGGTTTGTTTAGGTGTTATTTAGGGCTGGTTACGGTTTCTTTAGGTTTGGCTGAATTATCATTCGGATTTATGTAGGGTTGGTTCGTGATGTTTGTGGTTTATTTGGGGTTGGCTTCGGATTTGTTTCGGGTTGGTTTGTGGTTTGTTTATCTGTTATTGAAGGTTTATTTAAGGTTGGTTTATGGTTTCTTTAGGGGCGGTTTACGGCTTACTTAGGGTTGGTTTAGGTTTAGTTGAGGGTTTATTTACACTTGATCTAGGGCCGGTTTAGGTTTCATTCAAGGGTCGGTTTAGGTTTTGTTTGAGACTTATTTAGGGTTGATTTAGGGTTAGGGGTTATTTAGGGTTGGTTTATATATATATTTATTTATTTATTTAAACGGTTGGTTTAATTAAGATTAATGAAATGTTATTCAGAATTGTTTTAAGGCACCAGAATCACCAAAGGACGGAAAGACCAAGGGATCAGAGGACCAAGGGATCAGAGGACCACGGGACCAGAGGACCAAGGGACCAGAGGACTAGAGTACCGGGAGATTCCAAAACCACAAGCCTTGACAAGGGGCAAACACTGCACCAGGCGGGAAAGATTAATATTCTTTTGTTGAACCCCATGCCTGGTTACCATGGTCACCATGGTCACCATGGTCACCATGGTCATGGAAATGTGGTGGGAAGGGTGACCTGCAAACATCTGCAAATCCTTCGAAGCATAAGTTGAAAATGCTTCAGATATCTTCAAATCGCCATGTTTATCTTGGGTCTAACATCATCTTCTGGAACAGGACCATGTCTGCGTCGAGGTGATGCCACTTGCTACCAGGTGGCAATCGAGAACTGGCTCGGTCATGCTCGCTCGAGACATCCTCAGTCCAGGATGGCTCAGGATGGCTCAGGATGACCACTATGCAGCTGTTTCGGCGTGACTTGGAACTGGCAATAGCGGACTATGCTGAATTTGGAAGGGAATCCATGGGAATGCTGTACAGTCTCTAGAGTCTGTAGGGTCTAAACTCCGCCCAGTTTTGGGGGTCCATTCTTTCTCCGACTCTGAGCTTCCTGGCAAGTAAGGCTGCCTGAGAGCTTCATCTGCTCTGATCCTTGCCTTGACATCCTGCATAATGGGAGTACAACTTGCACTTCGGGACGAATCCCAGGACTAAAACTGTCGATTTTGACCATGTTTGTATTGAAATTATTGAAACATCCCAAAAGGTTGGGCAAACTGGAAGTACAAGACATCAGATTCGCTGACCCTTACATCTCCTTTTTGGCTCAAGAAATCACAGAGTTTCTGCAAAGTACCAGACTATTTGCATCTCATCAAGGATATCTTGGAGTAGGAATGCGGCGAAGTCTTGCGAGGTGCCTTGCAAACTAGGCGATGGATCATCTTCCGGCAGTTCTCGCTGATGTGGTCGAAGCATCCATAGTTCAAATTGACCTCCACAGTACTCTCTCTCTCTCTATCTCTGTTTTGCAATGGTGCGCAATTTTTCCACCAAAAAAATGCTGAAACTCGACATGCTGCCGCTACGCCAAAAGTGCCTTCCTTCCACTCAGAGATACATCGGCTTTGCAGGTTCGCCACGAAACTCTGCCAGATTTTTTCGGTCAAATGGGTACCCTTTTGAAGAATTTCTGTTCAAGTTGGTCAAATTCTGTTCAAGTGGGTACTCAAAAAGGGAGCCGATTGGGAATGCTGTTCGGACTGCACGAATCGAAATATTCACAATGAACATCAATGAACTGTCTCTTGGCCTTGCCCTCCATTGTTTTCTCAATGGTCTTTTGATGCGTTGGAGCAATGAAGGGAGTTGACTTCGAGAGCATGAAGTACAAGACGATACCAGCACCAAATTCCTAGGTTTCATTGCTGACCAAGCCAGAGAAGCCCAATTCTGCTTGTAAAAGCCATGTTTATGATTGCTTGTATCCCTAATTTCGGCTCCTAGTAATCACCCATGTTCATTGCTTCTAGCATAATTTCTGCAGTTTTTTGCTCTTTAAGTTGCCTGGCCTAGCTGTTGGTTCACCCATGGGACCGTCAGCCAAGCATCATCCCCCTCGGGGCCAGTGGATTCGCCCGCAAGCATCTCCGGTGCGGCATATCCCACCGTCCCCACCTGGGTACAGGAGAATAGGATGTTTAAAGAAAATATTCACGCCGCACATGGATACCATATACTGTACACATACATATCTATCTATCTATCTATCTATCTATCTATCTATCTATCTATCTATCTATCTATGCAGTATATATATATATAATAAGTATATATGACATTATATATGATATTATATATATATGATACTATATATATATGATATATTATATGATGTATTATATGTATATGTATACATACATACATACATACATACAGACAGACAGACAGACAGACAGACTTACATACCTACCATACCATACCATACAATACGATACGATACGATGTCCCCCTCCCCCCCTGTGGTGTGGTGGGGGTGTGGTGCGGGGTGTGTGGTGCGAGGGGGGATGACAAATATATATATATATATGTGTGGCATGGTGGGTATGGTGAGTATGTCGAAGCTAAAGAAGCTAAAGCAGAAGAATGCTAAAACTCGCTGGCAATTAGGAGGCTCGTGGGGTGAAGGGCTAGGGGGTGGGGGGGGTGATGGTACAGACCGTCGTTAGATCGTATACGGGCAGTTCATCAGTACGATATAGAAGCATGTGCGTAGTAAATCCCTAGTATGCAGGAAAGATATGTTGAACACATGTAGTGTTGTGAGAGTACACGGGAAGTAAATAGGAAGTAGATACACAGCACATGCATATATGACTATAGGTAGCTAGCACGTAGGTACTTTGAAGGAGTATGTGTGCTACGTAGGTCGTCTAAAAGGTAGCACCTAGTAAATGTATCCTCTCAAGTTGCTTCCCCCTCTGTGCACCATTTTAGGCCCCAAAAAAATGGTTCTAAAATGGAATCTAAAAGGGTGTCTTAGAACCCAAAATTTGTGGTTGCTAGTCCGTTTTTGGGTTCTAAAATGAGTTCTAAAATGGTATCTTCCACTTTTAAAAATCAAAAAATTAACATTTAAAAAACTCTTGTTGAAACCATTGCATTTCAAACGACGAGGAAATCTGCACCCAAACAAATAATCGACATGAGGCCAATCAAAGAAAACCACTGCAAGGAGCACTCCGTGATACTCCATAGCATTTTTCAGTGGACAGATGGTCTTATCATTTCCTACCTACCGAGCCAGATTTTTGCCCGCAATCTTTGTTTCCTTTCTTCCCAGACCATTAATGTACACCCCAATCCAAATGCCTTCAGGATGTACCCTAAGGTACCCCTTTTCAAATGAATTGAGTTTTGGGTTAATTCCATTTCCCGTGCGACTGTTTGTTTAATTTTATCCAAACATGTCCAACCAACTAAATTTTCAATAAAACAGCAAACTACTACATGCATTAGTGTTTTTGCGTCGCAGGAGAAAAACAAGGAAGAAATCATCACATGTGGAATTAGCAAGCAGCTGTATGTGGGACTACAGCTGTCGCAGCTGT